TGGCTGCAGTCTGACTCACAGCACTCTCCGCCTGTTTGGCTTGAAATGGAGGCTGCTTCCTGTAGTCCAGCATCTCTTTCAGCAATGGCTCACTCTCTCATTAAGACCCCCTCCTCTGCTTACACTAAAAATGTAATTGTCAAAGCAACCTTGAAAATTTGGAATCAGTTCAGACGTTTCTTTGATCTCCAAACATACTCTACATTAGCCCCTTTAACTGCAAACCATGTTTTTCCTCCATCCTTAGTAGATGGCGCATTTACTATTTGGTTTAACCAAGGCATTACAATATTCAAAGACCTTTATGTTGACAACACATTTGCCTCTTTCCAACAGTTATCTGATACATTTGCACTACCTAAGCAACATTTCTTCAGGTATCTACAGATTCGCAGTTTTGTTAATAATAGATTTCCTCAGTTTCCTAATCTCCCAACTGATTCGCCGCTAGACACACTCCTTAGGCCGTTACCTACTCTGAAGGGAATGATGACGTGTATTTACGCTCAGATTTATTCTCTTCGTTTGGTTACCCTGAACTTCATTAAATCTCTTTGGGAAACAGATCTTGGGGAGGAGATTTCAGAAGAACTTTGGGAAAAAGCCCTTGCTAATGTACACAAATCTTCTATTTGTGCTAGACATGGACTGATTCAGTGCAAAGTAGTATATCGCACACACTTCACTAAGCTCAGGCTCTCTAAAATATATAAGAAAGCAGACCCAACTTGCAACTTGTGACAGATGTAGCCAAGCACCGGCGAGTCACGCACACATGTTCTGGTCTTGTCCGGTCTTACACTCTTATTGGACTGACATCTTTAGATCACTGTCAGAAATTACTGGAAAACCAATCGCTCCTAATGCCATGACTGCACTGTTTGGTGTAACCCCACCCACATGGCCACTCTCTTCTCTGGAGACAGCCTACATAGCCTTTGTTACCATACTAGCCAGGCGCCTGATATTGCTCATGTAGAAGTCTCCAACATCCCCTTCACACACCTCGTGGTTAAAAGAAGTCCTAAATTCAGCCAAACTCGAGAAAATAAGGTGCATACTGAGGGGCTCCTTGGGGAAATTCCACAAGATGTGGAACCCCTTCTACAGGTATATACGGGAGCTGGACATGCCGGATGTTTCTGTACAATAGGGTGGTGGACCTGTGGTGTTAAACTGTGATTAGTGGGCGGCTGACTAACCAACAAGTGCTATGTTTTGTTTTTATTTTATTTGATATATTTGGTCTTTTTGTTCCATTTATACACATTGTTTGATCTCTACCTTTGCATTATGGTATTAATAATGGACTTAGACTCAGAGCCTTTAGATTTTGACTTTTTGTTTTTTTGTCCTGTCGCAGTCAATTTTTAGTTTTGTTTTATTTATTTATTTTTTGTTTTGTCTTGGTTTTTTATCCTGTCGGACTCAAATCACACTGTTGTCATCCTAACTTGTTTGCCAACTGCTATTGCTATGTCTGTCTGGCTGTTTGTTGATAAAAAACTAAACAAAACAACAACAAAAAAAAAAAAAGGTAATCAGTGACTAGTGTGAAACTGAGTAATGAGATGAGACAGGTAAGTAAGATGATTTTCTGTACAAGAATAGTTGAATGTCAAAACAAAAGCACAGATTCTGCTGATCATCATGGCCTGTGATCTACTTCATTGATTACAAGGAAATAAGATTAAAGTGGTTACTTTATTTAATAATGTATGAGGTACAATTTGCTTTCTATGCATACACACAGTATAATCAGGGCTGCACATAACTGGTGCGCATGCGCACGCCCCGCCCAAAAAGGAGCACCGGATCATTTGAAAAAACGTGCATTTGCGCACCAACATTGAGAGATGAGAGAAGAGAGAGAGAGAGAAAAGAGAAATGAGAGAAGAGAGAGAGAAAAGAGAGATGAGAGAAGAGAGAAGAGAGAGAAGAGATAGAGAAGAGAGAGAGCCAAAGTATAATTCGCGAGCCATTTAGGTTTCATTTTTTTAATCCGTCCACGAGCGCGACGGCATCTGCGATCCCTCGCTCTACCCCTCGCTATCGCGTGAAGGGTCTGCTTTATGCGCTCCGCTCAGAACCCTGCTGCGTGCTGCCCCCGCCCCCCACCCCCCCCATTTTAAGGATGCGCACCAAGAAACATCTCCAGGTGCTCCTTTGAGAACCAGGGCAAAAAAGTTATGTGCACCCCTGAGTATAATACTTTAAAGGCCATTGAAAAGGCCATGTTAGAGTTTTACCACCAGAGGGAGCCAACACACAACCCAAAGAGATGTCTGACTGTCTTGATCACCGAGAGATGATCATGATTAAGGTACAAATGATGGCAGAGATCATAACTAGGTGTGGCATTAATCAGAGCTCAATTTAAGAGATCAAATATTTTAATCATGTATTTTTGTGATTTAAAGAACCGCGAAAAGCAAAGAAAAATCCTTTAAATGCATTTGAAAGAAAAAAAACACTAAGATGAGGTGTATAGCAGTGTTCGTCCAAAAGGCATAACAATGCAAATAGCTTGTTAAGGTCTTGTACTCACCAATATTTTGATGCAGATTGTGTTTTATTATTCATTATTAATTACTTTAAAGAGATATTGTGTGTGTGTGTGTGTGTGTGTGTGTGTGTGTGTGTGTGTATGTGTGTGTGTGGGTGCTGCTTATTGATATGCTTCTGTACATGAATTGTATCATCACTGATATCTGAATCACATGACCAACCTGAGGGATTAAGCATAATCTGATAAGGGGACATTACATTATGAGCACCTGACCTTGTTTGTAGCCTTTATTTAACAGGTAAAATCCCATTGAGATCAAACAAACTCTTTTTCAAGGGAGACCTGCAAAGTTGGTTACCCATGAAAACAGAAAAACAACAGAAAACCAAAAGGACATCATACAACATAATTACAGGGGTACAATTTACAAACCTATCGACATTGACAGGTACCAAGATGATCATATTGCATTGCATCTAGCCGTGCTTTAAAATGATGCAGGGGAACCAAGATGCTCAGTTTCAGTTCAAGCTAGAGGAGCTGCGCACATAAAAGCTTTCATACCTAAATCAGTCCTATAGCACTTGGCACATGTAACAAAAACACATCCTGAGATCTTACCTTATATGTAACAAGTTCATTACTGTATTTTGGCAGGGGATCTCTCACTTAAGGTCATGTGACTCTTTAGCAACTGTCACGTGTCAAATGTGCTACTGCAACCTGACTGCATGTGACATCATGATAATGCCCTGTAAACAAAGAGTCACAGCCACAGCGTTTACAGCAATCATTTTTACATCATGACCAATATATTTCCATTTGAATATACAAAACACACGTTTCTACAGAACCATTTAAAGATTTAGAGGCCTTATTGTCTAATGCACAATAGCTATAGCTAGAAAGGGAAAACTCCAGGCTCCTCAAAAAACGCACCATAATGTAGACGTAAGACATAAAAGGTATTAATATACAAATATTAAATTATCTGCTACTCTTGACTTATACAAATATATGCTTTGATATGGGGGGTTGTAGCATATAAATTGCTGCCTTTAAATTATTAACTTTGCACACTTGTTTTGTTTTGTGTATTATTGTGATACTCTAGTGATATATGTATTTTCGTCTGTGAACTTGCATATAATTTGCTGTTAATGTTAACTTTCTATTTGTATTATATTTGTATCTTATTATATCCTATATGTTTAACTCATGTGTAATGTTTGACAATACTGCTGCTGTGACAAATAATGTTACCATTTTGGGATGGATAATAATGTATCTATCTTTGAACAAGGTCATGGTGCAGTACCACATTTGAACCACTGAGGGTCACTGTGTACCTGTTATTCACTCCCAAGGCCTTGCCTGTCTGAGTTCTGAGTACAACAGACTGCAGACATTATGCACTCAAAGTTATTAATGGCATTGTTCTGATGTAAGGACAGTTATATTTTAACCCTCAATCAACGTAATGTAGATACTCAGTAATGATGCATGCATGACCAATAATATATTCCACCATATCTAACCAGTAATTATCCTATCGCGTGCACACACATTAGTGGTGACAGCCTGATTGTGTCATGGCTGCAGTGATTTATAACTTTGTGGATATCCTTACTTTTCCACTGAAACTGAATACATGTGTTAATTTAGTGTAATATGCCATGTCTTGCAGTTGTAATTTACTACTTGACATGATTACAGCTTTTGTTAAATAGTTTAAAGCTGCTCAGCTGAGCTCAAAACTTGTTTGTATCTGTGACCTTGCCTTGGCTCTTTAATGTTGTTTACTTTGCTCACGTGCGTAAAACCAAAGCAGCTCTCAGTGCACACGGCTCAGTGAAGACGTTGTATGACCCGAAGAGCTCACATTGTTATTGTGGTGAGAGAGAAAAAAAGGGAGTATTGAGATACGAGGGTGCGTGTACTATATCGATCAACTTTAAGGGGTCAAACATCGGACAGAGAATTTAACCAGCAAGGTTACATTTTCATAAACAGTTGTTTCTCATTATTATATTGGAGAAAACAAATACTGAATTAGATTTGAAAAATGGTTCAACAACCATTTGGTGCTTTCGTGTAACATGAAACGATCGATGTTAGTCCATTATCGAACACAGCAGCCATTGTGAGGAAGAAGGAAACAAAATTAAGTCCGATAATAGACGCACAACCAGCTGCTTGGTTATGCACGCAAATCCGATCAGAAAACGCAGCTATATCACCAGCCTGACACTGGGAAAGTCTGCAGAGTGTTATCGAAAGGGTTGACGCTCCGTGAGATCAAAACGCTGCGCTCCGCAAGACGCACAGCCAAATGGGCACCAGTGGCCGATGGGAAATCAGGGTGGGGGTTGTGCGTGTTTTTGGAGAGGGTTGGACTTATTAAGGCAACCAATGAGAACGTCTCCTGAGGTGGCTGCTCTGACAGAGGAGTTGTTCTGAGGTTATATACCCAACATCTTACTGAGAAGGTACATTTAAACTGAACTACGTGGTGGAGAGAGTCGTACGAGAGAGGAGAAATAAACACATTTTCGGCACGACAACAACAACACCTGATACTGTCTCATCAGGGATCCAACAGCCAAATAGGGCCTCTTATTTTGGGTTTTGGTTTTTTTTTGGAAAGATTTTGGAGATGTCTAACGTCCAGTTATCGATAAGCGCGCTGGAGAGGCTGGTGGCCAGGAGGACCTTCCCCCTCTACAGGCGCACAACCGTGTGCCGCAACCTGTTCGGACCGGCGGACCACGAAGAACTAGAAACGGAGACGAAAAGCAAGCTGCGGGAGATTTATGAACGGGACCAGCAGAGATGGAACTTTAATTTCGAGGCCAACGCCCCGCTGGAAGGGGATTACGAGTGGGAAGAGGTGTCCGTGGAAAAGACCCCGGTGTTTGTTCAGGACTCTGTGCAGAACGACAGGACCAGGGTGCCCGAGACACCCGTGAAGAAGAGGCCCTCTTTGGACTCTGTTCTCCCGGAAAGCCCTGATAATATGGATGTACTGGAGCGCTTGGCTGTTCCTGAGAGCAGCACTCCGTGTCCGGTGGAGGTCAACCAGGAGAACCGCACAGACAAGCTCAACTCAGGGAGGCCGGCGCACAGACAGTGTGTCAGACGGAAGAGCACAACCGCCACTGACAACAACACACACATCACAGGTAAATATACAAATAAATACATCTCTTTTATAATATGTTTATGCTTTTCGTTTTCATGGCTAAACCCCGTACTTTCCCCTGCCTGTCTGCTCCGTGCGTAATTTCAGCTCTAGTGGATTCATGTGTATTTATATATATATTTTCGTTTCCTCAGAGTTCTTCGTGAAACGAAAAAGGTCTGCTGATAAAAAGACAAGTGAAATGAGCGCTTGCCACCACTCCAAGTCTCCTATCTCTGTGGAACAAACACCCCGAAAGAGAATCCGTTGAAGGTAAGAAGATCTCTCATGTTTTTCTAAACTGTTCAAATCGACAAATCTTGTTTTATATCATTTCTGTTTTGTTACACCTCGGGTTATCAAACCGTTTATTATCAAGAGTCGTGTTGAACCGGATAGCTGCCTTTTAAATAAATTATATCTGTTTTTTTCCTGCATTGATTAAAAATGATTACGTGAGCGAGAAAAAGCCCAGGCAGTCTTATCTGGGAGGGGGGTGGGGAGAGTTGCGGTGGTGAAATCGCAGTAGTAGTGATAGTAGTAGCTGTAGTAACACCAGAGGTTGGGGGAGGGGGATGTGCGTCACGATATGGCGGGAAAAGTCTCGGCTAAAGGGTGACGCCTGCTTACTTCTCCTGTTTCCTCAAAAAGCTGACTGGCGTCTTTACTCGGAATGACTGCTGCGAAATACTCAGAAAACTTACCGTGTTTTTGTTTCCTTTCCTCAGGCGTTTTGCACTACTTGCCTGCACATTTTTGAGGATCAAGATGGGAATGTTTTCCCCCTCTACTTAAACGCTGGAGAGGAGAAAACAGCGGACGGTTTGCGGGAGAAAGGAGCCGCATATCCGACCGGCTGCTCCGGCTCGGTGCGCCCGGCGGAGCGACACCAAACCCGGGCATAGACTCTCAGGACTGAACGGTTTGGAGAGGGAGAGGAAAAAGAGGACATTTCACTGAATGACTTCTATCCAGTCCAATTGTAGCATTCATGTTGCTTTTGCATACAGCCACTCGACAGTGTTAAATGTTTTAACATCTGTGCAATCCTAAATTACTTAAAAAATAATTGTCTACACTGGCCAAAAGTGTACAGCTTTATAGAGACAACAGCCTATAACTGTTTATTTTTCTGTTAATGTTTATTATTAAGACTATTCTAATTTATTTCTTTGTGTTTCTGAGCCGTTTTTTGTTTTCGTACAAGTGCCCTAATTATGTCTTGTAAAAGATAAGAATAAAAATATTTTTCACTTCAACTTTAAACACATTTGTTGGTGCATTTTTGTCCATTTTATTTAGTTCGGCGTACTAGCCTATATCTTGAAGCTGAGAAAAAGAGACATTTATATTGTCTGGTTTCTGCCTCGTGATCTACATTTAGAAATAGCTTCATTGTGCATTTATTGAATGCTAGTCTTATTTCCATTAAGAGTTATAATAGACCTGCCTTTTTAAAGATGATTCATTCTATTTAACTGCAAAAAATCCCATTACACAACACCGAGAATCCAGGCAGTGTTATGGCACACGTCCATGTCTCTGCTCCTCCCCAGGGTTGCAGGTATATTTCTGTTCTCGGAGCTCCGGCTGTATCTGTCTGCATTGGGCTGCAGTACACCTTGCGGGGGGAAAACGCATTGAGACGTGCAGCTCTGGGCCGCATGGCAGCTGCGGGATATAGGCTGGGATTTAAAGGCCCTTTCGCCTTCTCTAAAGAAGCAGCAGCTGCCTTTGGATCCCCGCTTTGTCCGCCACGAAGACACCCCCACATCCACCCGCACTCCACTCTAAAGACCCACTCATATACACTGTTTACTCCGCCGTGGATACACCGGGCGTGGAGGCCACCTGCTAGAGCTGGAAAAAGAAAACTACTAGTCTTTGTAATTGTCCTATTGAAACAAACCATTCACCAGGTCATACTTGCAAGTTTACCCTTAATTGAAAGAAGCCAAATGCAGCAGTGTGTGTGTGTGTGTGTGTGTGTGTGTGGATGCGCACTGGGCCTGCAGTGCCTGATAAAAACAAAGGCACATTTCATAATTTCCCTCAAGTTCTCCCTTCGTTTGAATAGCTTTGACTATCTGACACTAATGTTTTGATGAAAATGGAGACTTTTGATGGCCAGAGTGACTTTGTCAGCTTCCATGCAGCCATAAGCTCTGACGGGCTTGTTCTGATTCCCAACACAAAGCCCTCTCTGGCTCCATTCTTTCCTTTTTGTTGCCATATGGCAAATCCATGTAGACATAGCCAAGACCCATTCAGTCAGCCGCAGAATGTCCTGCATCAGAGAACAAAAGACACTTTGTCTGGCTGCTCTATTGATACGAATAGACGTAAAAAATATTATAATTAATCTATGGCTATATCCAGCTAATTAACGCCCATATGCCCACGGGGAGCTGCGAGGCCATTCAGTGTAGTTTTAAAATCTCAATAGTTTACATGTTAAAGACAACAGCTGTTCATGTGTTACTTTAATGAAGTCCCTTCTATGTTGGAGACTGGACACATTCAAGGGCTCAAGTCCCCACTCAGAGTTAAAGGGGTCATCTTTCTTTATTTGTCTCTACAGCTGTGCAACTATATCAAATGTGTCCCAATAAATAGAAGTTTAAGTCGCATTCGGTTTCTAAAAAAGGTATTGAATTCTGGCAAATACAAGAGGGGTCATAGGTTAAGGCCTGCAATTATTGGAGTGATCTTCCCTTTGCAGGAATTAAACAAATCGATGTATTTTACATTATTTTCATCAGACTGTCCATGCATTATAAGTGAGATGGCAACAGAATATGAGCTTCTATCCAAGGCCTTGACTTTTGTGACCAGATGGATTTAAACAGTTTAAATGTAGCTCCTTAGAGAATGATATCTTAATTCAGTCCTGCTGTATATATGATGCTCATAAAGGAAAGAGATGACAGCTAACATACAGAGCTCATTAGCAAACCCACTGCTAGAGAATATAATGAAACAACCAGCTGCTGCAGGAGAGGGAATCTGCTTCATGAGCTCTTCAGTCTCTCATCTGACCTTTAGCTCATAAACACTGTTACATTTGTGTCAAATCCTCAAATGTTATTAGCTTCAATCAGTTAATTAAATCATACCAAAATACTGTGTTATATATTTTCTTATGAGTTATGTATTGACAAAGTACAAATTAAGTACATTCTGTGATCACCTTGCAAATAAGAGATGAATGTGAGGAATCAATAATAGGCTTTAACAAAAGCAACGTTTGTTTTTCATTAAAAGCAACTGGACTACCTTTATTTTAATTAGATCGAAATTAAATGTTTAACAAGATTTATAAAACATTCAATTTTCAAAATAATAAAAAAAACAGACCTCTTTTATTGTAGCATTTATTTGAAACCAATAATAAAAAATGTGATTGCCAAAAAGAAACGAATACATCAATATCCATTGTATAGCCTATTTACAATATACATAGTTACATACTCATGTATAAAGGTGTATTTGAAATAAATACGAGTCTATTCGATCGTTGTTAATAAATGAAGACGTTATGAGTGACGTAAATAAACCAATATGGTCGATCTTTAAGATGAATCCAATTCAAACACTGCAATACGTCTCATGTCTGTGCCTCTGCAGAGTCTGTTTAATCTAACTTTAGTAGAGTAATTAATAACATTCAATACCAACAAAAAAAAAACGTAATTTCTCAGTCAAATACGTCACTGGTTCTTCCAAAAAAAATGTCTCCTTTATGAGTCTGACGTAGAAAAATATTGCGATGCAGCCACTTTGAAATACACGGTGGCTCTAAGGCTTCAGGCAAATGTAACAGCTGAAAACAGAATATCAGAGAAAATAAAACCCTTAAATCGCATTTTCCTCTCAAAACACACACACTTAATGGGACAGTCTGCAAAGGCTGCAATTAAATATAGAAAAGAGGAAAATCAGCCAAGGGGAATTAGCATTTTCCATGACCATCTGGCATCGGCGCAGGCGACAGGGAACAAAGGCGAGCTGGATGGAGAGGAGAGCGAGTGTGCCATCGCATTGACCTGCAAATGAGGCTTTGTCAACGAGTTAAAGCTCCCTGACCCTCTTTACCCCCCTCACCAAAAAAAACCTTCTTTTTTTTTTTACCTTTAGCGCAACGAATGAAGGTCTGAGTGTGTTTAGAAGCTACAGATCAAAACAATGATTGAAAGGTGAAAACAAGTCCTGCAGGTTTGCTTTTTTAATTGAACCTGTTCAATTATATTTAGATGTTTAAATCAAACTGTTTCCAATGTTTATTTCCTATATTTTGTCAATTAAGGTGAGTTATTAACGTGAAACGAGGCAGAATTAAGGTAATTATTTCCTCTTGCCAGTAGGTCGCTCAAAGAACAGAAAGAAACTTAAAAAAAGGTGTTTATCTTTTGTTGCAGGCTCAGCTTTGACACCCACACACGGGCCTGTTGAGCTACTTTACGCCCCAACAGGCCTCCTTTATAATCGTGGTGCTATTGTTGCACACGCCTTGCATATATTTCACAATTAATATACAGTTAAAGAGGAAAAATCCGATTTACTAAGACTTTTAATTAAAACGTTATTCCTGTATCTTTCTTTTCTGACCCAGACTTGCAATGACACAAAGGTGCGTGTGCAATGGGTGTTTTGGGGTGGGGACTGGGGGGTGGTGTGTTTGTGGGATTGTTGAACACCTGTGACCCCCCCCCCCCCCCCCCCCCCCCACTCCACTAGTGAAGTGGGCAGGCAGACAGAAGCCCACGTGTTTGCATAAAGGTGATTGTATCCGGAGGAGGGATGTGGTGTGTGTGTGTGTGTGTGTGTGTGTGTGTGTGTGTGGGGGGGGGGGGGGGGGGGTGGGTGTTTTTCGAAACGAATTGACGTTGTGTTTCCAACGAGCCTCAATAAAAAGTCCTTACTGAAATATTGCATGAGATTAACCATATTGTGGTCACACATAAACTAAATACAGTAAGTACAACAGAGCTTCTTAAAAGTTTATATTGAGTAAAAGGTATCAATTGACTCCCTCAAATATTTAATCATACATCAGGAATAAAACAATTAGAAATAAACATTATTTTAGTGGCACAAACTCATGTTTAAAGTGTATATTATAGGACTTTAATCTTTTCAAAAATTCGGCTAGAATGAGGCAGATCTTTGGTGTATCCTCAGTATTAACAGTTTGTGTATTTTCCCATTGAAATATACACCACACGTGTCGTATATCATGATGTAACCGGAGCTATTGTGACTTAAAAAAACAGTATTCCAAAAGGCCCTTTAACCAATATACGCATTTTGTAGGTCAATGTATTTTTGTTTTGGGTTCCTCTGCATGGCCCGGTGTTTTTCTTTTTCTTCTCTCCTGGGCCTTTTTCTCTTTACATCCACTCAGTATTCATGCTTGTGGCCAACAAAGAGCACGGCTCAATCCGCGCAGGAGGCGGTGTGACAGGGAACTCGTGGCAGCTTTTCAAATATCTTCTTTCTGTCTCCTCCTTTTCTTTGCATCGCGACTTTGGTCTCGGTTGGACGGGGTGAGGAGGGGGTTAATCAGCCTCCCACCTCAATCTCTAATTCACTTTGCTCTCCCCACGCATCAAGGGGATCGGATTTAACACTGGCCAGAAGAAAAGCAGATCCTTTACAATGTTTCACAACGCGATGGAGCGAGCAGGTTAATGTCTGGGCTGCGTCTGCGCACATACAGCCTGCTGTATAGGGAGCTTGTTGCGGTGATAACGTATTAGTAAAAGTGTGTTTTATTACCTTTTAAAACGTGCTTTGAACAGTTTCTGCAATTATAAATGTGCATCATTGAATAAATGTTATGATACTTCATTATATACATGTTTTATCACACTTGTAGCTAGATTAAATGCATGTTTTTATAACAATAAGTCCAAACCTTTCCTTTTATTTCAGAAAGAGTAAAGGAAGGCACTATCTGTAGGATTTGCATGTGGAATAATTCGATGTTGACCTGCAGGATCCGAGAGGTTTGCAGGCAATCGATGCATGTACACTGCAAACAAAAAAAGTGAATCTCAATTTTGTAGGCCTATACGGTTTTGATAAAACAGGTGTCTATAGCATACTGTCAATTAGATTTGTGTTTGTGATTATTTTCTGTCCGAAATATATTAATACAGGAGGATTCAGAAACTTTTCCACCTCAAATACATTAATCGAGGCCTTACATTCCCACATTAGAGCAACACTTGACTAGTTCATTTAAGGTGGGCATTTTCTTCAGT